AAAAAAAAAGAGCTAGGTTTAGAAGGAGCTTCCTAGCTCATTTGATCCAGTTCCTTTATTTTATAGATGAAGAAAGACAGGTAGAAGGAAAGGGATGACTTGTCCAAAGTCTCCCAATCTGATACGGTCTGGCTGTGTCCCCATCCAAACCTCATCTTAAATTCCCACATATTGTGAAAGGGATCTGGTGGGAGGTAATTGAATCATGGGGGCAAGTCCTTTCTGATAGTGGGGACAAGATGGGGATGAGATAGATGGGGGCAAGCTATTCTCCTGACAGTGAATAAGTCTCATGAGATGAATCACACTTTTATTCTTGGCCCCGATTTTCCAGATTCAGCTGTTTCTTTGATAGTGAATAAGTCTCACAAGATCTGATGGTTTTTTAAAAGTGGCATTTCCCTGTACAAGCTCTCTGATTTTTTGCCTGCACGTAAGATGTGACTTGTTCCTCCTTTCCTTTTGCCATGATTGTGAGGTTCCCCCAGCCATGTGAAACTGTAAGTCCAATTAAACCTCTTTCTTTCGTAAGTTGCTCAGTCTCGGGTATGTCTTTATCAGCAGCATGAAAACAGAATAATACGCAACCCCAAACTGACAGCTGAAGACCAGAGCTGAGCTCTCTCAGCTCAGATATCTCCCTGCTACACCAAGCAACGTCTCATTCATAGCACTCATAGGTGAGACACTGGGCAAAGTTCGCTTTTTCCCTCTGCAACAGCACAAACATTGCACGGTAAGCATGCAGTAACTTGATGCTAAGGGAGTTGGCTCTTCTGCCCCAAAGTACCAGCAAAATGGAAACTTCAGACCGCAGGACTGTGGCAGTCAGTGTGCTGTCTACTCCGACCACTGGAACAGGTGTTGTTAGACAAGCCTGAAGCTGTATCCTGTACCCACTAAGAGGGAGGACCCCAGGCAGTTTCCAGGATGAATCACACTTTTATTCTTGGCCCTGATTTTCCAGATTCAGCCGCTTCTTTGATAAAGTTCAACCTCCAAATCCCTTTGCCCCAGCCCAGGGTGCCATTGGATCCCCTTTGGACAGGTAACAGAAGAATTTGCCATGCATGTACAATATTGTAGCATTTCGTACTCCCCAAACCCCTGTGGTTCAGTATGGGGGAAAGAAAAATGATTCTGGGGGCCGGGTGCGGTGGCTCCAGCCTGTAATCCCAGCACTTTGGGAAGCCGAGACGGGCGGATCACGAGGTCAGGAGATCGAGACCATCCTGGCTAACACGGTGAAACCCTGTCTCTACTGAAAATGCGAGGTGGCAGGTGCCTGTAATCCCAGCTACTTGGGGGGCTGAGGCAGGAGAATGGCGTAAACCTGGGAGGCGGAGCTTGCAATGAGCTGAGAGCCGGCCACTGCACTCCAGCCTGGGCGACAGCGTCCAGCCTGGGCGACAGCACGAGACTCCGTCTCAAAAAAAAAAAAAAAGATTCTGGGAAATCCTGAGGTTGAGCTCCTGAGGCTGCCCAGCAGATTATGGAAGAATCCCGGAATGGAACAGCTACATGAAAGTATCATACAATTCAGTGATGTACCCCACTGACAGACTGAAGCATGCATTATCCACAGTGTTTCTGCTGAGAAAGTTCAATGTGCTATTCGATTGTGATCATCTCAGAGTATGTTTACCATCCATGATTTATTATAATGGCTTGAAGTGACACGCATAGAGTGGTCACTGTATTAAAATAAATCAGAAATCAGATGTATTAATGATACGAAAAAGCTGATCACCTGGCATAAAACCGGTTCTACACATGCACACTTCCACTTAATGTCCAAAAAAACTGAACAAAGCTAGATGTTTGGTATTTGAGGAGCTCTGGGAGAAAAGAACCAGCTTTGGGCATTGGATTAATGATGGTTTCTCTAGAAATGTAAAACTGTCATGCCCTTGGAGAGGTTTTGCTTTAAAAAATAAAAGAAAAACTCCCTTGATTGGTCACCACAAGGGGTTGAATTTTCATTCAAAGAAGGCTGTGGCACAGTTCTTATCTGAGAGAGCTGGTCAGGGCAACTCCAGCTGTGGGTACCCTCAGCTGGTGAATATTTGGCATCCCTCCAAAGGGACATTTTTAAAATATTTTTTCAATATTTTCTTTGTGGGGACAGAAAGAACAGATTGTCTAGTAAGAAAAACTGTACACCTCTTTCTTTATGTTCAAAATAAAGGATGTATTGTATTACATGATTGTGAAAGACAAAATGCACTGGACAATTAAGAAGATTTTATTTAGGCTGTTGCAACATGGAGTCACTCACTAATGAGGAATGCCTCAATGTGGACAAGGGGTCTGGGTTTTATAAAGGCAGGTAGCCCTGAGAGTAATCCACGAGGCCCACAGCATTATGAGAAAGAGTAGACAGCAAGTCTTATCTAAGCATATCGGGAAGGACTGTTCTTGGTGATTAGGGTTGGCACTTTACTGGAACACAAAAGCGTGGGGGGATTTCAGAAAACAAACGGGTGGTGGACTTGTCACTGTTGCTCTTTTCCATGAGCATGGGTCTCAGATAATGGTCAACATTGTCCGGCTCTAAATGACAACGTTTGCATTTTTCAGAATTGTCTTTCATGTCACCATTTTTCTGCAATTTATTGCTGAACGGTATAGGTTGCGCACGCTCCCAAAGATCTGCTCGAAATAATTGACGTGTTTTTTCTCCTGGTTTGCATAGAGGAAACACTTCCCTACTATTCTGCAGTTCTCCTTCTCCAGTTTTCTTTACTAACTTTCTGAATCTAGCGATTTCACAGCAAAAATATTAAAGAGTTTAGATAAAAGTTTAAATTAGGCCGGGCGCGGTGGCTCATGCCTGTAATCCCAGCACTTTGGGAGGCCGAGGCAGGTGGATCACCTGAAGTCAGGAGTTCAAGACCAGCCTGACCAATATGGTGAAACCCTATCTCTACTAAAAATACAAAAATTAGCTGGGCGTTGTGGTCTCGTCTGTCGGCCAAGGCCTGGAGTGCAGTGGCCGGATCTCGGCGCATGCAGCTCGCTGCCCGCGTTACGCGCATTTCCTGCCTCAGCCTCCGAGACACTACAGCGCCCGCCACCTCGCCCGGGCTATTTTGTATTTTTTAGTGAGAGACGGTTTCAACGGTTTGCAGGATGGTCTCGATTCTCCTGACGCCTTGTGATCCGCCCGTCTCGGCCTCCCAAAGTGCTGGGATTACAGGCTTTGAGCACCTGCGCCCGGGCCTCCTTTTTTTTTTTTTTTTTGACAAGGTCTCACTCTGTCGCCCAGGGTGGAGTGCAGTGGAACAATCAAGGCTCACTGAAACGCCTCCTAGACTCAAGTGATCTGCCTCCTGCTGCAGCCAGTCTCCTGAGTAGCTGGGATCACAGAGTGCATCACCATACCTAGCTAATTTTTTTAAATTGTTTTGTAGAGATGGGGTCTTGCCATTGCGAGCTGGCCCCTCCAATCCCTGGGCTCAAGCAATCCTCCCACCTCAGCCTCCCAAAGTGCTGGAATTATAGGCATGAGCTGCTGTATCCAGCCTGAAATTTTAATTTTATTTTTAGAGATGTAGTCCTGCTATGTTGCCAGGCTGTGGTCTTGAACTCTGGCCTCAAAGCAATCCTCCCACCTTGGCCTCCCAAAATGCTGGGATTAC